CGCTGTACATGATCAAGGACCGAGTGCAGAAACCGCTCGAATCCGTAGCGGGATATCGAAATCGGTTCTACAGAATGTTCGTAAAAACTGAGCGAGGGGAGCAAGTAGGGAGAAATCTGTTCATCGACGGGCTCCGCAGCCAAACAATCAGGGCTAAGTTGCGAAAGCAATTTTCCCCCATCACTCATACGCTGCAACAAATTATGGCTACTGCGGAAGAAATGGAACGGAAGTTCGCGGCGAACTTCCTGGAGGGAGAAGACTACCCTAGAGACGGAGATTCGCTTGAGCTCGCCCGAGCAAGAGCAAAGTTGGCCGCTTTACAAAACAAATTTGAAAACATGGGGTTTGTATCAGGACCTGTCACCTATATGGAACAAATAGGCCCCAAACGAGTAATCCTAAGTGAGACTCTGAGCATCTCTGCTCCTGTAATGCCCCCGCCCGTCAGGGCATTACCCCCGCCGCCGGTTGAGGCTCCTGTACGATCAAACGTTGATCAGTTTGATCCAAGAAAGTTAAAAGGAGCAGCGAGAGCACAATGCTCGGTTGGAAGCCATGATTAGGAACATGAGACCCATTGCGGTGCGTGCCCCTCCGATGCAGCAAGGAGTAGCCTCAGCCCCTGCTCTCGGAGGAGTCGCAAATAATCTGAATGTCTGTTATGCCTGTCATCAGCCAGGCCATCTAGCCCGCGACTGCCCCCACCGACCCCCGCAACAGCGGATCGGGGTCACACCTATGGCTGCGGCCCCCATCACCAACGGACCTGGACAAGTCGGAGCCCTGATGGAAGAAATAGAGGGTGGGGGAAGTGCCCTGGCTACCTCAGAAGAGGCCGCCGAACTAATCCCACGAGATCAGTATGTATCGCTGGGGTATCCTGGGCTTGGAATGATCGGAACAATCCGACCAGCACCAGAACCGAAAGAGGTGGCGGAGTGGCGACCGTCCCTAAGAGAAATGGAGTCGGGAGGACCCACCTTCGTCACAGGGGAGATCGATGTATTAAACATCATCCGAGCTTTGCACCATCGGATTCCCCTTCCGATTGGTCATCTGCTCTCGATCTCCGAACAGGCCAACGAGCGAATGTTACAGCATTGCAAAGCGAACCAAAAGCGATTCGCCCTTGCCCGAACCCCGAACGCGAAAGCCAAAAGCCCCGCGCCCGAAGAAAACCCCGCAAGTACTTTGGATCCGATACGGGTAGGTTTAATCCAGAAAGATGATCATTTCCTGCGGATTAAACCAATTCCGTGGAAATCCGCCGAGTGTGATATAAAAATTAGGGGAATTCCTTACAATGCTATTATAGATTCGGGAGCGGTTGTGTTGGCTATCTCATTGAGAGTGGTCGAAAGGGCAGGCAGGAAAAACGACTTGATCACGCTTTCTGAGAAAGATCAGCTCGTTTCGGCTGACGAAGAAAGAATTAAAACCGTGGGAAGAATGACCAATGTCGCTTTCCGATTGGTTAAAGTGCATGCGCTTGAGGATGTCGTAGTACTACATGTCAATACGTACGACATTCTCTTTGGACTTCCCGCTCTTGTAGCGCTACGAGCAAACCTAGACTTCGAACGACGATCGATCGCCCTCAGAAATACCAGAGGAAAACCCTACGCGGTGCCCATGCGATTGACCCTTCGAACTACTACTAACACGGTTCCGCGAGTTTCGCCGATGATGGCAGAGACTCTCCGCATGATCTCCTGGGAGAAATCCGTAGAAGGAAAGTCATCAACAGACGATGCGGAAAGCAGTGACGAGGATGATCCAGAGATCTTGAAATTAGCACGACAGCGTGTTTGTTACCCGCCACCCAAAACAATAGCAAGAACGATGCAACTAACCAGCTGAAAAATTCAAAGGACCAAGGCGATGATCTTGGGTGAGCCCCTCGTGCAGATTTCGAGGATGGTCGATTCTTTGGAACCCCCTCAAACTCTGTACGAAGGGATCACCCCTCTCCTCCCCCGGTACAGCGACAAGAAGCATTACTGTGACATTACGGGTCTACCGAAGTCCCTACTAACCTCAGCTAAAGAAGTAAGATTGTTACGCTTGGGGGCGGAAACAAGCTCTCTGGAACCCCCTGGCGTTTTGAAGCAGAAACAGACGGACTGGGGATAAAGATCGCAACAAAGGAAGTTCCATGGCAGGATGTTTGTGACGGGATTACCCCGGAAGGACACGTGGCAATCTGAGAAGAAGATGCTCAGATGATGCTCACGGTGTTCTCCTGGGTGATTGGATCATTCATTCATCTCGGCGCCTCCACCCGACTTGACAAAATAGGCGAACACGAAATAGATTGACATTCGGATCTGGGACCAGCTTTTTGAATTGCACGTTCCACAAGGTAATGGCAGATATTCTAACGGAATAACAAGGAGCGATTAGTGTGTCAGACACTGACATTGGGTTGTCATTAGTAATCCAACATGAAATTCAAACAGGGAATCACACCCCGATTCATTGCAAACCTTATCGCTATTCCTTGATTGAACGCAAAAGGGCTCTCGAACGAATTCGGGAGTTTGAAGCCAACGGCTGGATTGAACCCGCCACCGGACCTTGGTCCTTCCCCATAGTGTTAGTACCGAAGAAGAACGGGGCGATTCGCATTTGCATTGATTATCGCAAGCTGAACGAAATCACGATCAAAGATGCGTATCCCCTCCCCCGGATTGATGATCTGTTGGATGCGATCGGATGCGCTAATTATTTCAGCAAGTTTGATATTCGGCATGGCTTCCATCATATTCTAGTAAGGGAAGAAGATCGACCGAAAATGGCCTTTGTGTTGTTTGAGGGTACGTGGCAGTGGGCTCGGTGTGTCCGATGGGGATTTGCAATGCCCCTGCCACATTTCAGCGAGCGATGAACACGACGTTCCAGAAGTTCGTCAGCAAGACACGACTGACGCAAGGAATGATTAACTTCTGCGTGATCGTGTACATGGACGACATCCTGGTCTATTCGGAAAACCTATCACGGACACGCGCAACACATCGAATGGACATTGAGTGCATTGAGAGATGCTAGGTTCAAGATTGCGCTTAAGAAGAGCGAATTTTTCCTTTCGAAAATTTCGTTCTTGGGCTATGTCGTGACACGTGGAGGATTGCGGCCAGATTCAAAAAAAGTTGCGGCGATGAAGGAAGCTCCGATTCCTACGTCACTGACGCAGGTTCGAGCCTTCTTGGGACTGGCGTCGTACTACCGACGCTTCATCAAGGGCTTTGCCGCGAGTGCACGACCACTAACGAATCTGCTACAAAAGGACCAGCCTCTCAGCTGGGACGCGGAGTGCCAGCAGGTTTTTGCAACCCTGAAGGACGCTCTGGCAACGGCCCCTATTTTGATTCGACCGGACCCCTCGAAGCAGTTCATTCTCATCACGGACTGGCAACCGAAAGCTATTTCCCCTATTCTAGCGCAGAAGGGGAACGATGGTCGCGAACACGTCATCGAGTATGCATCACGAACCGTACCGGACGAACGAAGAAATGACTCCGCACCTCAGGGTGAGTGTTATGCGGTAGTTTGGGGAATCCAACACTTCCATCCGTACCTTTACGGACAGAAGTTTCGCCTCGTAATGGATCACGAGCCTCTGCTGGCGCTGAAGAAACTCACCAATTACACGGGCATGATTGGCCGCTGGGCGGTGCGACTGCAAGAATACGACTTCGATATCGTCCATCGAAAGACAGAGCAACACGGCAACGCGGACGGGCTGACACGTCTGCATCGACCTGCTAAGGTACCGAAGAGCGAGGAAATTACACCGTGGAAGGAGCCGGACCTGACTAACGAACCGAAGTACGGACAAGTGGCAGTTCTCCCACGTGGCAAAAAGCAAAACGGTGGCGATGGGTGATGGAGGTAACCCCACTACCCCTCTTTCTCCCCCTTTCTCCTCGTCTCTCCCCTCCCTGCCTGACAAATTTTGCTATTTTTGCGAAGCCATCTCCCGCTTCTATTCGGTCTCCATGCGTCCTAACGAGGTGGGATATGCGGATTGGATAGATTGCCGACAGTGCGTTGCACGGGCCCACGGCTCGTGCATCCAATACGGGAACGATAGTAAACCATGGTTGTGCCCCTTGTGCCGGACCGACAAAATTCCGACCGAGGCTCGCTTTTTGGATGCCACGTCAGAAGGATTGGAAAAGACCCGAAAGTTTAGAAGGGTCGAAGTATGGACGGATATTGCCTTAATTGTCACCCTAGTAGGTAACCCCCTCCAGGATTTCACCAAGGAAGATCAGAGGAGGGCCAACAAAAGGGCTCGGGACTATCGATGGGTAGAAGGTAGATTAGAAAAACGAAAAACGGACGATAGTGGGATTTGGATGGTAGTGCCGCATCCGTTCATGCGGTATGACTGGGTTAAGACAGCCCACGAAGAAACTGCGGCTCATTTTGTTGTACGACTCACGGAGTCCGCTATCGACAAAAATGAGTGGTACTGGTCCAATATCCGCGACGATGTGAAGTACATCGTCGCCACCTGTCAAGTCTGCGCCGCTGATAAAACGCCGATTCAGCCACCAAGGTCGATAGTGCCCACGGTTGTTGAACGGCCATTTCAGAGAGTAAGCATGGACACTACCGACATAGTGGTGCCCCCTGGCCCTAATAGTTGCGAGTATTCACTCCTACTGGTATTGGTCGACCATTTCTCGAAATGGATCGAAGCGTATCCTTGTCGCACGCGGCAAGCCACGAAAATCGCGCGATATGTCAACCGTTTCCTCGGGATGCATCAGGACACCGAAGAGATCCTGACCGACAACGGGGCTGATTTCAGGGGAGAAGTGTTAAGGAATCTGGTCCTACATGGCGTAGCCATACGAAACATTGCACCCCACATGTCACAATCTAATGGGCTGGTCGAAAACGCTAACCGGGTGATAAAGACAGCGTTGCGATGAAAAATCGCGGCACGGGATCCGAGACCCTGGCCCGATATAGTCGATCACATCCTAGCGGTCCATCCCGGAACGCCCCACGAATCGACGGGGCTGAGCCCCTTCCAATTAAAGACCAATAGTGTCGCTTGCGTTTCGATACCAAGCCTCATGGATGAGTCTACATTGAACCGACGGCCCACCATGGCCACGGCTCGGGACAAGGCCAAACGACACCTAGAGTTAATGGAACGGTTGCTGCCCAGGCTAGCCCGAAAGCGACAGAAAATGACCGAACTAGCCCAGAGCCGACAGGTCCGAAGCTACGAGGCTCGAAATGGGAATGCGGGTCCGCGGCCCCAGTACAAATTGGGGGACGTAGTGCAGGTGAGGAAATGTGATTGCCAGGGTAAGCTAGCGCCACGATTCTTCGGGCGATACCGCGTGATTGAGCTCGGCCCCTACGGCGTGGACACTGTGCGTCTCGCCCCTGAAGTCTCTGGCAGCCGATCGGCGCGCCCGATCAGCCGCCACATGTCCTGTCTTGGCCTCCTCCCCTCTGCTCCCTCCCCTTCTCCCTCGATCTCTCATTCCGAGGAAGCCGAAGAAGACGACTCTGACTCTCCGCCATCTCCCTCTTCCTCCTGCTCCCCATCTGCCTCCCCGTCACCTTCGCCATCGCCATGAGTTTTCTGGAGGAAAGAACCCTCAGCGCAGCATCACTTGCTCCCCGTGATCGGTTGACGATCCGGCAAGCTCATCATCCCCGCCTCAGTCCAGACCTTCGCAGGCTTGCGCACTTCTTCTGCACGGAAGGCGTGTATGCAGCGGCGGTATTCAGAATCGAAGGCCGACCTGACGCGGTGGTACTAGCCAAGGCGGTAGCAGTTCATCAGCGGGCGGTGCCAGGTGTCAGTCGCATATCGGTCGTCATCAACTTCAGTGGCGATCTCTCCACACTTCTTCCTTTGCGACATTCGGCGGTGAAGGCGTCGCTGTGCGCGTGGGCGAACGATCTGGTCACCGATTGGACTCAGCTGCTGGCTCGTCCCGGAGATACAGTCGCAACGACACGAGCGATCGAGTACGACGGCCTTCGGATGTATTAGCGCGAGCCGCCAGCAGATATCCCTATCCTCGTTCCCTTCCCACGTCCCCAATGAGTCTCTCTCCGATCTCCGTTTTTTATCTCCCCTCCACCTTCCCCACCTTCTGACAGTCCGATATCCATCCTCGCCTTTCCTACTGTCTAAAGCCCCTCGCTGTCCCCGATATCCATCCTCCCCATTGGGTCCTATCGCGCGAAGACTTCATCGAGCTTTCACTGTGTCTGGTGGAAGTACGGTTGACGTGGATCGAGGACGAAGCGCACCCGCCTTGCATAGAGCGCCTAGAGTTGCTGTTCATCCAGGCCTGGCAAACCAACGTGGAGGGAGAGCTTCCCACGTTTCTATTCGGTACGGTGCGGCCCGGTCACCGGGATCTCATCACGAAAGAGCTCACGATCCCGGTAGCACAGCTGGCGGATGATCTCCCTCTCGACATCATCTCGCAAGACGACAAGCATCCAGTTCCCCACGTGCTTTCTCGCACATTGACGCCTGATCTTCAGTGGTCGGCTTGCGTAGAAGGAGCCGCAGAGCACATCCCGCCGTCGCAACAACAATACCTGGATCCCCGGACGGCTTGCGATCCTGCCTTCTTCAGGCATCCTACGGCGGAGCAGCTTGCGGCCATTCGAGAAGACGAGGAGGAGGAGGAGAGTACCGGGAGTGACGAAGACGAAGAGCTCGGGGAAGAAGACGAAACCCCCGAAGAAGGAAGCTATAGCGAGCATAGCGAGGGGGAACAGAGCGAAGAAGAAGAAGAAAGCGAGGAAGGAGAAGAGGAGCACGACGAAGAACCTGCTGGATTGGAGTGGGAAGTCGTGCCAGAAGAAGCGCTGCGTACGGGTACGGAGGCTGAGGATCCCGAGGCGGCCCGCAAAAGAGAAGAGATCGCGGCCGGGAAGAAGGAGTTAGAGCTCGCAAGCGCGGCGAGTCTGCAGATTCACGACGATCCGAACCGAGATCCGGAGCCGCCCCGGCCTGAAGATGGCGACCTCGCGGCCATGACTCCGACCCCATCAGCGAGGCGACGGAGCCGATCCCCCTCCTCCTCAACCCGTCCCCCAGTTCGCCGACGTACCGATATGGGCGATCGGTCTTCGTCCCCGATCACTCTCTCGCCGTCCCCTTGACTACCTCACCCTCCGCCAGCTCACCACCCCCATCACGTTCCCCTAGCGACGCTCGGTGCTCTGATTTCCCTTCTCCCGACCACACCTACTACTTCACCCACCCGGGATGCGTTGAGATCACCACCTGTTTCCCTCCTTTCCGCCTCCTTCTCCCGTATCAT